CTCGATTTCACACCAACAGAGACCTACTTCCCCTCACTAAAGGGTCATAGGTGACAGCAAGGACTCTGGAAACAGGCAGATTGACTGTGCAAATCCTGGCTCACCAAATTCAGCTTCACCATGCCTCCGTTTCTTTGTCTGTAAAATGGGCATAATTGTAGGCCTGCTCACAGAGTTGTGTGAGGATTCGAGAAACGGATGTGTGCAAAGGCTTGAGCTCAGCCCTGACACACGAAGAAATGTTCTCGTGATTGCTTAGATGAAATCGGAGTTGTCTATTTTTTTAAAAAACTGCAAGAAATGAATCAGCTGTTAAATGGTCCATTATCACCTACTTGATAAATAAGGCTTTCTCAGTTCCCATCAGTAAAGTTGAGATAGTCTCAAATTGTTTATCGAAATGAACTGCTATTAACAAAGTAAAATTTTTACTAGCACCTGGATGATGTTGTATGTTACTCGGGCTGGGTGATTTCAAGGTCTTGTCCAGCTCTAATGTTTTAGGATTCAGTATACTATCTGCATAATGGGGTGATAATATTAAGTGCAAAATGAGTTAACTATATTTTCAAAGTGCTGTTTTTTTTTTTTTAACATAAGCTATTTTTTCTGCTTTTTCTCTTATGATTTTTCCTGAAATATGGTCTTCTACATTTCAGATTCTTCTTTACTGCCAACCAGGTAAAGATTTACACCAATCAAGAGAAAACCAGGTGCGTCTTCCCAACCCCCAGTCACTATTAGAGGAAGATTCTTTGGTGCAAAAATTGAGTGCTTTGTTTCTGGACTTATTTGTCCCGTTTTTTGTCTGCTTTTAACCAACTCAATGACTACAAAGGCAGCTATCCCCAAATCTGAACCTTTCATTAAGAAAAATAACTGGGAGATCCCAGGTGCAGTAGCACATGCCTGTAATTCCAGCACTTTGGGAGGCTGAAGCAGGTGCATAGCTTGAGCTCAGGAGTTCCAGACCAGCCTGGGCAACATGGCCAAACACTGTCTCTATGAAAAATACAAAAATTAGCTGAGTGTGGTGGTGTGTGCCTGTAGTTTCAGCTACTTGGGAGGCTGAGATGGGAGGATCGCTTGAGCCCTGGAGGTCAAGGCCGCAGTGAGCCACGATTGCACCACTGCACTCCAGCCTGGGCAACAGAGTGAGACCCTGTCTCAAAAAAGTAAATAACAAGGCCAGGTGCGGTGGCTCACGCTTGTAATCCCAGCACTTTGAGAGGCCAAGGTGGGCAGATTACCTGAGGTCAGGAGTTCAAGACCAGCCTG